ACATGTAAGTCTTCTCCGTCTTATTACATCTTCTGGTGCATGGTTTGACCACATGTGTCGACACATTGGCAGCCTGTCTCAATCACGGCATCACGCTGTTTCCTTTGAATACCCAACAACGCAGTTTTGTCAAGATGAAAAGATTGACGATCGTAATTTTATTTTGAAATAACATCAATTTACCAGATTGTATTTCAGCAGATTTAAAATCCAAGGAATGTTATCAGGGAATTTGTTAAATATTATTAAATATGTCGCTGTCATAGTTTAGCCGTGATATCGACAATATTGATGTAAACAGAAACTACAGCACGACCATGCGTTTGTCACGCAATGTTGAAAAGTAGCTTAATCAAACATTTGAAAAAAAAGGAAATGAGTGCATCATTCTATAATAGCATACACATGGTGCAGAAATTGATGTTACACAGTCACACCATATTGCAGCAATACCCGCCCGATACAGTCGTGAGTAACGAGAAGGATGCTAATATTTAGTCACTGGAGCATCCAATTGAATTTCGATCTACTGCCAAGCTGTCGACACGATACATAATCTTTATCATCTCAACAACATTGTCATTCTTTGGTTGAAGGACTATGATTTTGAGTTTTATAATGTAAATTTTACTGATAATGTTGTAGGTTGTTTTCTTTTCAAAGTCAATTATTCGCACAGGACGTGCCAATAATTTGCACTGACAGCTGGGCATGGCAGGGGCAAAGACTACACATATTGATTTCACAATTTGCATACAAAACGTTTGATGAATATTGTTTGAAGGGATGTAGATAATAAAATGCAAGTCTGATGACGTAATCGATGTTGTCTTTCTTCTGTCTAGGCCTTCATAGGGTCTGTAATTGTCAATATTCGTGTACAAAATGAGAATCTAGGAGACTGATATGTAAAATCCATCGTTTGGCCGATGTCATAGTTATGGTATGACCCTACATCCGTGGATAACTGATGTGAAATCCGTCTGATGGATGTTGTCTTAACTGTCACTTACCTACAGTAAAGAATTCGTCATATCTTATCATTAGTGTTCTCAAATATTAATTCGTTTACACACACAGACATTTCTTCTACAAGCACGATGTTGTACAGAGCCTCCTCTGCTCTTGGAAACCAGTATAGCAATTCATTTTCTTAATTCAATTCAATTTCATTTACAACATAGATCAGATTTGACGAGGCAGATGTGACGAGGAAAGATATACATATTTATACGTGATGTCTTTTTTTAAAACTGACATACATGTAGATGAGGATTATGATGGTGATGATGATGAAGTAGAAACGTATGGATGTATTCGTGTGTTTGTGTGTGTGTGAACTATATATTTGTTTTGTCTTATATCTTGTATCAAAGAAACTCTCCGAGCAACACTTTCAGTCAATTGAGAATATATATAGTATTGCGAAGAAAACGGAAATCCGTAGGCAGTGAAGTCATTAACATTTAACTGGGAATGAGACAAACGTATGATATTGTTAGTATCACTGAAGATCTTGTTACATCAGGACAAGATCTGCACTGAGCGTAAACATGGTAAGCTGAACGTGACTATAGATGTACAGAAGATTAACGAGAACTTGGTAGACCACCTAGTGTAGGCTTTAAATGTCAACATTTTTATAGGAGAAGCTTTGGTGAGCGAATTATGTACATGTTTCTGAGAAAATTAATTAATGGATAAGCGTATACCGACATTACATGTGAAAATTCAGATGTCACCAGATATGATGATGAAAGCGTATTCGAAATATTGTTTTGAAATATTCTAAAATGTTAAAGTATACGAATCAACATCAGGCCGTTATGTATTATACTTTCATTACTTAAAATCTTAATGCGTGAAATGAATCCATCACTCATTAGGCATCATTCCTAGAATGCCAGGCCTGTGGTTAAATGGGGATACACTGTGAGACATCACAATGAGACGGCTAAAATGTATCACCGTTATTAAGGTACGAGTGTCTGTTAGTAGCCTGGGTGATCTGGAATGACGAGACAGTTAGTAGGGGTATTATCAAACTTGTCTTGGGAATGGATCAATTATCGTCTGTATAAACTATTAGCCATGTAATCAGACTGACAATATATCTTGTAAAAGTAATTTCCGATGAAGAAACTCGATAGACAGACTTCAGCGATGGTCCTAAGTGAGCGCTAAGTTGTTTCGATTTTTAGGGATCAGAGAAACTAGTGAGCAATTTGTAACGCATACGGCTTAAACACTTGGTTATCGCCGGGTCGTTTGTCCTTACGTACCTCATTTAAACAGTGTGTTCTTTAGGGTCTTCGAAGAATTAGGATATTTGTGAATGTAAAGTCGGTTTTCACGAAGTTAATGTTACAATTTGTCTTTAAATACGAATGTAGATCAACCAAGTTTAGTTGAATCATCAGAACTGTGTTATGGTTTTACTAGTTACAATGATGAGCGGACACACAAAGTTAATTGTTACTACTTTTTTTTTTATCTGATTCGTTATTTTTTTCTCGAACATCCACGAGAAATCTTACTTGGGGGATTATTCGGTAAACTGTACACATACACAGTCTTTTACACAATGTAATATATTTTGCACAACACAAAAAAACGTTATAGTTATCTTAAACGCATGGCAGTTGTTACATAATACAAAACATATAATATACACGTTTTTTGTACAGATCACAAAACACAAAATGTGTGTGTTGTTTTTACATAAAACGCTTAATGCGCCATTTCACACAATAAAGAAGTATTAAACTGTCTGTTTATTCAAAGTTTTACTCGATATATTTACGTTTAACTTTATTCATCAAAAATGATGTTAGTTGAACTGTTTATGACATACATGATATGCTGACCACGACACCCGACATCTTCTCTTTGTTCGAGCGTTTGATTAGCTACCTGTCACGTTTTTTTGTTGTTATATTTGCTTAACTGCGTCACACGACTAACGAGAAATCTATGCCCATCTCTCGTCCTCAGTGCCTGACAAAGTATTGTGCATATGTTTGTGATCTTGGCGATGTGTTATTTCTTTGTTTTATGTTTTATAAACGTATCTATATGTAGCTATTCATTTAGGACGAGAAAATTGCGTCAGAGAAGATATTGAGTACATCTATGTATAAGTATTATTAAATGTGCCTTGATACACCTACTGGTAGCCATAACTTGTTATCCCAGCAACTTGCCTTGGTATGCTGCCGTGTCTTCATGCTGTTGCTTCAAGAAGGTACTTCACTTACTTGAAAGCCCTGTTTTCTTCGTTATATAGTACAAGTGAAAAAACAGCAGGACATTTGGGATAATTATTCCTTGGATCATCTCTGATATGTCAATATTGTTGTAGGGGTATGCAAAGAGCACGGACTTTAATATAAACACGTGATGTAACTAATTAAGTGCATGATGCACGTTCCAAACAGTTGTTTGTCTGATGTCAGTCTCGCGCATGTTTTGTTGGTTGTTATTCCTCAAAACGACCACATGCCAGGATGGAGATGTGTCTAAGGGAATGTTGGAGTCTATAACAACAGTGTTGTATCTAGGCAGTCACGTTCTAGTGGCATACATCTTGACTTTCCAGAGATACACATCATCAACACCTACACAGAGGGAATCCCGGAGTCTAGGCATTATAGACAACCCTTTTGCACTTTGATATTCTTAAACCTTATGTGATTTAATAAGTACGAGTGTGATCAGTGTCAATATTCCCAGGGATAAGTATCAGCCCACATCCTCTACCAGGCCTTATCACATAAAAATTGAGAGATGCCGATGTAAAACGTGAGAATCGGTAACATAAGATTCCTACACTGACCTCGTCAACACCAAGTCTACAACATGATGTACCTTCTGTTTGCAAATAGACAATTAGTAACGAAAACGAAAATATTCTAAATGACAATTAAGTACAATACATGTCATCATTCTTTTGTTTTAAGTGTCAGATATGCTTTGCATTTCCAACAGTAAAATCCAAAGAACTTATCACAACTCGTGTTTTGTGCGGTTAATATTTAATGTAGAAAATATTGGGTTTGTAATTCTGAAGCGCAATTTTATCATAATAAGTTTGTGAAATAACTGTCTTTAGAAGTCGGCGATCAGGTGTTTATGTTAGCAAATGATGTAAAGTGTAATAACGAAATTACGAGCGTAGGATGACGATATAACTAGACATCAAATAACATGCTTATTTACAACACTTGTTGGCTGACAAGTAAAACTCCCCGGTTGTGTAGCTATTAACTACCTACTGCATATAACACGTCCTGTAGGAATTACGTTATGTATGGTAATTAACCGTCTTGTGTTGTGACGTATTTTGGCGACTGTGGTATACAAATGTATGGTCGAGCTGGCCGATCACTCGTATGATGCGCAAGTGTGAACATCAGGCATATACACCAGATTAGCTTTCTTAGTTTACTAGTTCAAGATGTAGCAACAATCCTTGTCTTCTCAGAAAAGACGGGATTACACATGTAGTCTGTGCCTCTCCATCTCCCCACCTCTGTTAAAGGCTTGTACTCTCTCTTTTAGACTATGTTTGGAGGATTGAATGCTTATTTGAGTCTAGAAACCCATGGTGCCAATTGTCACACATATTTGAACTTATCAGCATGCCAATGTCTATTAGTGATGTGTTTTGTTTGATTATAAAGCAGTCTTCGTTGACATTTCATATTAACATAAAAATCGTGATGACACAAATACAATATATTGGACATTGCGTTAACTTAGATAATGGTGTACAACTGATCGCTAATTGGCGGATATACAACAATCATTACACAACAGTGCATAAATCTATTGTTTAAAGTGCGTCTTTCTCGAGTTACAGTTAAAAGCCAGATCATCAGATAGGCAAATAGCTAATCAATACCCATTTAGGTAGAAGATCTGATAAATTATGAAGGATACATTTTAATATAATATGTTTGTTCCTAGTTCAATAATGATATGATATCTTTGTTTTTTAGGTGGTTTGTTCGAAAATGAGCACACCGGACCCAAGCTAGCGTTGATGCATGCCATTGACGAGATTAACTTGATGAATGACATTCTATCTCATACCTTGCTCGTGTATGAGATGCAAGATGTGAAACCTCACGATAGCTTCGAGGCCAACAAAAAAGGTAATGTATTAACATATAAAAGAAATTCATGGCAAAAAAAAACAACAAAGGTGTACTCTTTAAAAAGTACACGATGACAGCATTAAATAAAACAAATTATTTGTCATAAACGAATAAAAAAATCAATATATGAAAAGATGATTAAGAAAATAAATTAATTGATAGAAAAAAATGAAAAAGCAAAACTGTAAAGAAACTTCTTAACCTTTAACAAAAATGTCATTTTTCAACAAAACTTTTCTGTTTCATGTACCAAAAATTTAATAAAGCAACATAGTAGACATATTTATTATACTCAAATGCCGATGCGATATCAATTTGGTACAGTATAGTAGTACCACAATCACAATTAAACCTCACAGTATCATACAAAATGATAAATATATTGTACAATAGTTGACCATGTGTCATAATACATAATATGCCGAAACCCTTTGATATGGTTACATAAATAATGTATTGATGGCCCGATGGCATGTTTATCAAACTATAACGTTACAAAACACCGGTGAAGTGCAGGCACATAATGGATAGCAGGACCACACATTCTTGTATAATTACAATACCACCAATCCCATAACACACAACAAGGAAGGTCATTACACCTTTACAGACTTTGGTAATGACACCCACCTGTGTTTTCAGAATTAGATGATGGTGCCAAGTACTACAGGATCTGTTCCAGATATTTCGGCGAATAATGAGCTAGCTATTTCTTAATGTTTGTCACATGCTTCATTATAAAAAAAAAACCCTACTCTAAAGGTATTTTAAGTGCCCGCATATTCTTAAATAAATTAATCGACAGCTATCGTCACTGATTCACGAGGCACGTTGTACTATAGTACATCAGTATGGTTTAAACAATGAATCGTGAAATCACTTTGATCCCTTTTATTGGTCGCATTGAACCCCAGATGCTTCCCGACTTCACACAATGTCACTGGTTTTATTTGGGTATTTGATAGTTATGAGATCGACTTTACAAGATAGTGTGAATTGAAATGGATGCTATTGTTCTTGAAATATATCACAATTGTAATTAACAGTCCCATATTCTGAATCTAGGAAATATACAAACTATAATTTCGAATGCACCGGACAGGCTGAGTGTATGAACATCGAGCCAGGAATCTACAATGATATTACACGTTTGTTAATTTGTTCCCCTAGTTTTATTGAATTTTAGTTTGGATTATGTTTGTGTTCCCTTGTTGGTATTTTGTTATCGTTTTATAAGAGAAGCTACATATATGAAAATAGTGGTAACAAATCATTGGTTTTCCATTACTATGTATTTGTGAATGGTACATATGTTTTTGCTTGACGTTAAGCCTGTTAAATATCAAATATAATCGATATTTTATACAAGATAATGCTGATGTAAAATTAGCTTTTACGAGGCATTAAAAACCACACACGTTAATATTTCCTGATATCAATGCTGGATTGGATTGAAGTACGTTATCTTACGAATGTGATTTGACTGAAAATGACAAACGGTACTAAAATTATATGATTAAAATCATCGGAAAGTCCAAAAGTCGGAACAAGGAACAAGACATGCGGATGCGAAGAGAAAACGAGATACGGAACTTACGTTTTATCCAAGTTTATTTCGTTTAGAAATTCAACAGGATGTTCCATGTCGTCTTTTGAATCTATACTTGTAATCATTAATCATTTGTCAATAAAAATTATTGTAAACTTACATAAATCTAACTTCTGCTTGGGAAGCTGTTGCGTATTTAAATGAAAAGTAAGGAGCGCCCTCAGGAATATCACAAAGTTATTGATAGATAGTTTGTGCTTAGCGAGTACGTAACTACCAGGGGCTCACTTTCTATCGTTGGGATCTGTAAATGTCATTTAGATTTATCCATGTGAAAGGGGGTGTAATTCGTTTAGGTTCTGATTTATCTGTCCTACTGAGAATGATCTCTACGCCATTACATTGGTGCTCAGCTTGTCGACATTTATCCTCCGTTGTCTACCTGTACTACTAGTTAGCCCCTTCTGATATTATTTAAACATTTTCCTTTGTCACTACAGAAATTGTGTGAATTCTGGCAAACTTCGTTATAAAGGTGATGAATCCTTGTCCACATTAGTCAGTGTAGAAATTCGTAAATCGTTCATATCCACTTTCATGCCAGCATGTTCGGGAATCTCTTTCGCGAGTGTAAAATTTTGACAGCATACACTGTGTCCTTTACTCACATTTAAATGTTTAGGAACCTGTACCAAACCCCCTTTTGTGCATTTCTGGTCTTGGAGTTTGAAAAATATTATTATTAGAAAAGCATTTGGTAAATAGCTTTTTGAATTGCAAAATGGTCAATGAAGCCTACGTCATATACCAGTCCTTATCATGTTTTTGATGTTCAATAATTTGATCACAAGGTTCTTAACGCAGATGCAGTGTTGATTTTGATAAAAAGAAATCAGTAATCACATTTATTAGTCATTGTGACTTATAAAAGGTGTTACCATTTAAACCAGGAATTCCTCGAGCCACTGATCAAATGTTCAAATCACTTTGTAGATCACTTCAATGAACACAGGTAATTAATCACGCTCTTCTCAATGATTTAAAGTGTATACTATTATGTTTTATTAAGTTCAGTACGAACCAGCAACCTACAAGAACTCATAAGTTAGTGGACAGTGAACGAACAATCCTGGACTACTTATTACGTATAGAAAAATGTACTTATATTAATTTGAATTATCATAAACTGAGTTCAAAATTACTACCTAGTTATATAATGGTTTACCGTTAAGTCATATGTATATCATATACGCCCACATGGTGTAATTCTCTTTGTATTCAGAAATCTGCGTGTAAATCTCTCTTTCATCCTGAATTTGTCTTAGACATCCAATACGAGTTTGAATGATTCTATTATTATTTTCTTTGTTGTCTTTGGTCTTCTTTATTGTATAAAAGTTAAGGTTATTATAGTTTTTTGAGCTTTATCTAGTAAATATGAAATGAGATAAGGAGAACAAGCTATGAGGATGAGATGAATTCTGGGAGAATATCGGAGAATATCATAGCACAACGAACTCCTAATTCATCTTCTGGCTGCACTCTTTTTCTTGTGGATCTACCAAACGTGCACATTAGCTGTTCTTGACCATAAACATTGATGATAATATATTACTAGTAAGTGGCTTTGTTGCTATCATCATGCGATACTTACCAAAATAATTCCGCTGATTTGCACATGTCCTGTCAATCAGAAAGAAAGTACCCCAGAAGAAAAATGTAATGACTCAATTTTACACAATTTGGTCTCTTGCGACAAACATTCCGAAGAATGGTAATGGAAGTGAAAGTGAAATAATAGAGTTTTCACCCAGAGGAGAAATCAGCAGGATGAAAAACGATTCGTGCAGAGTGGTAAATTTGTTGTCGCCACGCGGTCACAGTAACTGTATTATATACCACACATACTTTGACAGGCTATAGCTCAGTTTACCAGGAACATGAACCTAACCATTTGTCATGGGGAATTAACACGAGTGATTCTTAACTTAGAGCTGAGTTTGAACTCATCAGGTTTATGAAGAAGAAAACTTCGTTATTCCTCACCAGTATCACCATGAGGATGTTAAGGTCTATGAAAGCATATCCTAGTCACAAAATATTGACTGGCAAATTCATCAGGTTGCTGATCTCAACGGAAATTGATTACAGATGCTTTATAGATAACGTGCGTTCTGCTGGAATCCTGAATGTGAAAATTGCTTTCAAAATGTTTCTAAATATAGCATGATTTTCAGTGTATACTCTTTCACAGATTACACCAATTATTTTATAACAGAGTTGTCTCATTTTAAACCCTGAAATGCTGACTTTCTACGCAATTCTTCCCATCGTCTCTTTCCGACCGCCATATACATGTACTGCAAAAATGCATTTGTTCAACAGTTATATGTAAAAAGTGCATGGTTAGTGCCCTTTAAAGATGATTGTGCTCTACATTTAATGTCAACAGTGGTCGGAGTTGCTATAATTAGTTTAAATGTTAATTCATTTCGACATCGACGTACTGCTTAAAATCAATATAGGGTTAGTTCACCATTAAAAATGCATTACCCAAAAGCATAAGGCAGACCTTCTACTTCATATTCCTCTTTTTTGGCGGTAGCCACCAAATACTTCAAGAAAATTTTGCCTCTAAATGACCCTGGCTGGTAACGGGACATTAAACCGTCTCTCTGTTCGTCTTTCTGTTAAGGTCTTGTTTTTGCAGTACACTATTACGAATTGTGTCACTAGAGGGCCTTAAGACAGCAATCATTATAATTACATCAGCATCCCTAATCCCGCACGGATTGGGGAAAGTTATTCCCATTTTTCTTTTTCCAGACAGACAAATGGACTTCCCCTCAGCATGGCTTCTGCTTGGTAATTCACGGGACTGATACCGTAAAGCACAAGGTGGAGTGCTTACTAACGTGTTAGTGATATGTTTCCATTGCTTCCTGTATCATATTTTTTTGTGTTCAATAGGGCATATTCTCTGCTAGTATATGTTCACTGCCAGACAACAACAATATCAGTGACATAGCTGCTGGTGAAGATTGGTAGACAACCTTTCTCGGTGCATGGATGTCAGGTTCTAGATGTGTCACTGGAGACACATGAGTCGGAATTAGTTTTGGAAAGATATTAAGGTCGCAAAAACTATCCGTACCACCGGTATATTTATGTATATCAATGCATCGATGTGTAATGTCTCGGTCAGGTTTTCACACACAGTTGAGGAGAAATTATTTTCCTTGATAGAAAAAATACCAGTATTTTATAGAAACTCCAGCTCCATCACTTTGTATTTGTGATTGGTTAATAATCAACATGATGCAATGAGATGTGGCACATTGTTATCTGTTGATAAGATGAACATCTCATGAGCAATCCCAACCCTATTACAACAATGATTCATCCAAAATATTGCCGTGAGAACGCTTAGGGTCAGCGAACGGCTATT